CAGTAAATCAGGATACTTTCGTCCATCAGCCATACATTACGTTCCGATCAAGTACGATCGCCTGACGGCCATCGGCATGTATATAAGGACCGGACAAGGAAGGCCCGTACCATTTGTGCGAGGAAAAGTGGTGGCCAAGCTTCACTTCAGAAAGAGAAAATGACATTGTTGGGAAGAGGTAACATTCGAGTGTATCGTGGAGGTGTGCTCAGACAACGAGGGTCCGGATTTTTGTCCGGTTTAATGAACATGGTCAAAAAAGGGGCTGTGATGGCAGGCAAATCTTTATAGAGTGCGGGTAAACAGGCTATAAAAGATAAGATAAGTTGGAAAAGAGGTGTTGAAAGTTGTCCAAGGCAAAGAAACCGTCAAGGGTGGATTGAAAAACATTGTTCAAGATGCCGTCAAACCTGCTTTGAAATCCACGGTGTCAGAAACTTTGAAGAATGTTTTCGGAGGTATAAAAGACCGACAACCACCACGAAAGCGGACAAAGTCATCTGCAGTATGTTCTGTCAACATCAAACGAAAGAGAAGAAAGAAAGATATCTTCGATCATGACTTCAGTGATGCGTAATGATTCCTGTCCCTGTGCTCCTGATGAATTACAACAACTGTTTACCGTTCCTGATAGTACACAGCCGTTACCAAAGTAACCAAAGTTCGCAAATATCCACTGACCAGCGATTTGAACCATGATGGTCCCTTGGAATTTTTGATTCCTCATTCAAGTACAGATTTCATCGACTTGGCCAACATTAGTTTGTACCTGAAGTTGAAAGTAGTCAAAGAAGATGGGACGAATGTCGGTGCGAATAAAAAAGTCGGACCCGTCAACAATTTCTTTCACTCTTTGTTTAAAGATGTGAAAATTTGCTGAGTTTTGGTCGTGGGGCCAAAAACAACCAACTTAATCAACAAGTCATGTGGGAGAAAGACACGACAGACCAATTAGATAGTACACAAGCCGTTCAAACGGGAGCTGGTGATGCCATCGTACCCGTTGTTAACCATGGTTTGGGAGAAAGAAGAAAAAAGATGGGTGAAAGTTCAGAGTTTGAATTGCAGTCCCGACTACATGTGGATTTGTGTTTACAAGATCGTTATTTAATAGATGGTGTGGATGTTCGCATCCAGTTGGAAAGACAACAACCAAAATTTTATTTGATGTGGAACGAAAACAATGAAACGTACAAAGTGGAATTGATCAAAGCCTATTTGGAAGTACCTTTTGTTACGTTGGCACCATCAACCTACACGCGCATTGCTGAACAACTACAATCGAACAACGCCAAATATCCACTCAAGCGAGTAGTCGTCAAAGACATCAGCATACCAAGTCGTCGACGTTTTCACGTTTTGGATAATTTATTCATCAACGAAGTCTTGCCTAAACGTCTCATTTTGGGTTTGGTGGAGAACGATTCTTACGACGGCAATTCCATCAAGAATCCATTCAAGTTCCATCATCATCGACTAGAATACATCAAACTGATGAAAAATGGCGATGTGGTGGAAGAATATTTCATGGATTTTCCTAACAAACAAGCAACAACACCGTATTTAGATTTGATGAAAAGAGTAGGAATACTCAACAGCAAAGAAGATTTGGATATGTCTTACAACGACTATATTAAAGGCTGCACTCTTTTTGGTTTTGATTTAACCTCGGAGCAGATCAAGTCAAATTTCACCCCAAGTCGTCTGGAAGTTTGTCTTTGGAATTGAGATTCGAAAACGCTCCACCGAATCCACTTAATTTGCTATTGTTTGCTGAATACGACAATGTCTTGGAAATCGACGTCAACCGCCAAATTTTGGTGGATAGGTAAACCTTTGTATACTGCACAGTTGGAGGAAGGATTGAGTTGTCATATCCCTGAACAATTTGGCGGTGTCCTGGCTAGAAATCAATTACAAACGTGAAAACCAAACCGCTATCCCATGGCATACGCCGTTAACACTGATGACGAAGACCAGCCTGGAAAACATTGGACCGTGTTTGTGTGCGAAGAAAACCATTGTGATTTCTTTGATGTCCCCCAGAACTGTATGGAAAAGATTTTGCCGACTTTGCACAACGTCAAGGACCGGTACGACACAACTCCCAATGGATTCAAGGACTCCAAAGTGTTGTGTGTGGTCATTATTGCCTGTTTTACCTGTGTCATAGATTCCACGTACCCACACCAAAAGTCTTGTCGGTGTTTAAATCGAATCTGACTGAAAATGATTAAGATTTGAGGATGGCCAAACTTGTCGAAGATTTATGGATGTAAATACGTTATTGTTAAATTCTACGTTATAGTTATTGTTAAATTCTTTAGTTTATTATGTTATTATTGTTCATTGATTATAGTTGAATAAAGTTTTAAAAAAAAATACCACGTGTACCCTCGCGTGTATGCAATGTGCATGAGGGTACTCCAAACATTCGTAATGGGAGAACAATTCAGTTCGGCGCCGAGTAAGAAGTTCAAAACTTTCATCAAACTATTTCGTCCTTTAGAATATCTGAGTGGTTGCGTAATTCGCCATCAATGATTAGTCCTGGAATCTTCATGAACATGGTTCTGGTGGTACTTCTCGTTTTGATATCTTTGACTGACCCGAATCCGTCTCTCTCTAACTTCGCCAATTCAACTGAAAAGAATTATATTAAGGTGAACTTTTAAATATTTTTTCTTAATAATTACATACCTGGTCCTGTTTATTTGTGTAAAATTCTAAAATTCTAAGGTTCCTTCCGTCCCTCGAGGATTATGATTTTTAATTAACATTTATAATCCTTTGATCAATGAAAGAAACAAATTAACTTACTTTTAATGTTAGACACAATAGATCCTTTGATATGTTTCTGTACTTTTCGAATGCTTACAAGGGGTCCTTGACTCCGACAAACGCACTTGAGTACTTTGGTTCTGAATGGTTGACACTTTTTGAGTGGCACTGGTGTGACTTGTACTGATCTTATTGCCTGAAGAGGAACGCAATAAACATTGTAAAAAAGATTAACGTGAATAGATACCACTTTTCTTCAATATTAAGTTGGTATTTTATTATGTTTGAATGATTCACACGCACAATAATTCCATATAATTTTCCTTATTTCAAGTTAATTAACTTTGTTGTACATTTAAAGATCTATTGACATATGCTTGTGAAGAAGTTGTATATACTGGCTGAAGTTGTTTTATACTACAGTACCTACCTCTATGAAGATTGACTTCTGTTGCGAGATGGTGTTAAAAATCGATTTCGCCTGTTCTATAATTTCTATTTGAACCTCTGTTGGTGTTGGAGTCTGTGGTAAGCCATTTACTGCTGCTTTCCATGCATGCACTAATATATGCATGGTAACTGCAAGCTTAATGACGTGTTGCGTGTCCTTTGAGGAAGTTAAGGGAATATCATTCTCTGTAGAATCTTGTGACATTTTAATTAATAAATGTTTACTAACCATTGTCTGCATTGTACTTTTTTCGTATGAGATTAGCATATTGGTCAATCATGGTGATGTATTCTGCTTCAGCTCTTCTTGATAGACGATAACAACGGTTTGCATTGAGATGTTCATTATAGATGGACATGAATACAGATTCAAATGATTTCATATGACTGCGATTCAAAGCGGAAAGATTTTCACGAACTACATCCAATGGGAAAAACTGGTTTGGCTTCAAAGAAGAGGAAACGATCAAGTAGTCCATCGTCTCCAGTTAAATTTACTAACTCTGACAGTAGCGGATGAGGTTGAATCATTAGGCAAATGGACATTGATGTTTTGCTGAACCCTCTCGAGCAAGTTGATGAGATGCTTTGATCCCCTTTGCCTCCCCACATTTACACAGAAGCGAACGTTCCGATTCACCTTTAAGTTGTTTTTGGTTAGCGGTCATGTGCCCCTCGTCTCCTGTTAATAATCCATATCCGGATGCATCAATCTGGTGTTTCTGGATGCCTGCTGTAGTGTAACTTTCCAGTTGAATATTTTTTTTGAGATGGATGTGAATACTGTTTGCTCGGAAGAGAAATACCCAAAATGTTTGGGCATGTTTGGTTTTTGTACCAGTGTAATTGCTGACAAGCGCCAATGTATAAATTATCTGAGAAAAATGGGGATGTGGCACCGATATGAATGTGTTGAAGAGAAATGATATCAGCGACGAAAAAACCTGGCAATGTAAATTTTGTCAACGTAAAAAATCGTTTAGAAAAGATACAGCATTTGAGGTATGCACATTATTTATTTGAAGTAGGCATGTATATATATTAATATAGTAATTTATACCACAAGAAGACAAAATAAAAATGTTATTAATTTAACATGAGCATAGGGACAGCAACTCACCCACACTCTGCGCATGTCTTCCACACTTTGCGCATGAGTACATTTCACATATTTTTTGTACTATTTTTTGTACTGTTTCAAACCCTCAAAGAAACTGCTAACATGATTAATAATATTCTTGCCGATTTAGTCAAAACTAGTTATCTCAAACAGAAACAATATGATTATCTGTCTGCCAAACCTGATTGTCGCGAGAGACATTTGTACACTTTGCCTAAAATCCATAAGAATCCAACCAAGGAGTGGTTTATCTCGAATAAAATCCCTAAAGGCCGCCCGATTATATCTGACGGTGGTAGTGAGTCATATGCAGTGTCAGAATACATTGATCATTTCTTACTACCTCTAGCATGCCAACATCGCGCCTACCTTAAAGACACAACCGGTTTTGTCAATAAAATAAAAAATCTTCGAGTTCCCTCTAATGCTATTTTAATTTCTATCGACGTTTCTTCTATGTATACCAATATCGATAACACTACTGGTTTAACGGCAGTTCGTAAAGCTTTTAATAGATACCCAGATCCAAACAGACCCGACGATGCAATTCTACAGCTTTTAGAGATTTGTCTCAGTCGAAACGATTTCACATTTAATGGTAAAACATATTTACAAACTTCAGTTACAGCAATGGGCAAACGATTCGCCCCTTCGTACGCAAACCTTTTCATGGCAGAGCGGGAACGTGAGGTGTAGCCCCTCTGTCCATTTGACCCACTTTTTTACGGACACTTTTTGGATGACATTTTTATGGTTTGGACTTACTCTATCGAACAGTTTTGGGAATTCTTTGAAATTCTCAACAACGACCATCCTTCTTATCAAACTAACCGCAAACGTGAGTGACAAAAGCATAGACTTTCTCGCTACCACAGTCTTTAAGGGAGATTCCATAGCAGAAACAAATAAACTGGATATTAAAGTGTATTTCAAAGAAACTGATACTCATCAACTCTTGCACAAGAGCTCCTTAAACCCAAAACATACCTTTTCTGGTATAATTAAGTTTTACGATTTCATCGAATTTGTACAAGTTCTTCTGATTTCAACCAAGCCTGTACGATTGTTTTCTCAAAACTGAAAGAGCGTAGGTACTCTAAACGATTTTTACGAAACATAAAAAATTCCACCTTAGCACAGATAGCAGCTAAAAACAGACTTTATGCCGAAGTACCTCCAGGTTTAAGAAGTGCTCCATGTTTGTCCAGTAGATGCAAAACATGTCCCTTTATATCAGAAACTCATTATTTTGTAAGCAACTCTACGAATAAAAGGTACCCGATCCAGGAACATCTAACATGTGAACATTCGAATGTAATATATTTAATTTCATGCAAGAAATGCCCCAAACAATATGTAGGAGAAACTAAGAATAATTTACGAACTCGCTTTAATGCCCATAGGTCAGACATCAAATTAAAGAAAGACAAGCCTGTCTCTAATCATTTCAACCTCGATGACCATTCAATAGACGATCTCACCCTAATCCCAATTGAGCGTATAGAAATTGACTTGCCCGAAGATGAAATTACCAAATTCCGTCAATCTAGGGAGGCCCATTGGATTGAGACATTGAATACAGCAAGACCTATAGTACTAAATATTCATCATAATGTAGCATAGCACCCTTTGTTGTCCCGTTTAATATAACCAGCAATCGAGCAAGCAAGATAGTTCATGCCCACTATAAGAGCCTTCAAGAGAAATTCCCCCATGTCTATAAGCAGAAAATGATAGTTGCATATTCGAAAAATAAGAACTTAAATGATAATATTGTTCATAGTAAACTAAAAACAATCAGTACATAACAGATACTATACTTGTCGCCCATCGGGCGAGTTATTTTTTCTAATTTCAGGTCAGAATAAGAACAGAAGAAAACCCAATATCAAGACCCTTAATCCTAATTTCTAAATAAAGTGTCTGCTCCACCCTAGGCCTGTACATTTGGGAGAATCAAACCCTCCCTTCCCCGAAACCTAACGAAGACCCTAAAGGCAGCTGGACTATATTTAGCATAAAAGAAAACGACACCCTTAATTTGAAATACTTTTTATTTCCAATCCGGATGTGCAGACATGCGCAGAAAGTGGATGACATGCTCTCCCTAATCGCATCTTTAATACACCTCAATTATTATTATTATTAATTGTTTTTTTCTGCTTATGTTTGTTTTTGTATGTTTAACTTTTTTTGTGGTGAGAGTGGTTCACACATTTTTGAAATTAACCTTTAAGTTAATTAAACTTATGCATGTTTTCCTAAAACCAATAACAATCGATCACTGTGGTAGCACCAGTCGTCTAGCGTCCTGCGTTGCAGTCGCAATTTTTCTTCTCATTTTTCCTAGCATAATGCATCAGATAAAACACTGATATTTGTTTGAAATTTTATAAGGATAAGATGAAATGTGGGATGTATTTACTTCAAACGGAGGCGACATCTGCCTTCCAAATGCTCAATTAAGAGGCAGTTAATTAGAAGATGTTTTTCTGATACAGAAAAGTAGACTACCTCTTCAGAAGATTCTACAAATAATATATTGCTTCTGTTTGGATTTCCAAAGATACCAATGTGAAAAGTTGTTGCCAGAAGTAGACCAACGATCAGTTATTGAGTGGTACAACATTTACAGAGATATATGCAC